GGAACCATCATTCCTCCTGATGTCAATAGTCTGAAAATTAAAGACATCAATTTGGGAGAGAAATTAGACTTGCAGTTGATTGCATTGACTGAACATCCAGTAGGTAAGAATGATAAAAGTTCTGCTGGTAGCAGCTTCTATGGAGAAAAAGATTCTGGAATTGGTGGCTCAAACAACCCTGATGCAAAAGGAGGTAAGTTAGTTAAGTCCATATAAAACTTTTTAGGAGAGGCTGGTGATCTGGCTAGTTAACACGATAAAGGCTTTAGTTGGTGTTAAGCATTAGGGTCATGATATTCACCCTAACAGCATTCGGTGACATTGTGTTCCGGAGTTTACCCCCCAACCCACCCCTCAGTCTTCCTTCTCTAAAAACCTTGTTAATGCAAAATAGGCTTCAGTTTTTACACGCTCACATTTTCTTGTCAGAAACTTCCATTTAATAGAAAAAGGTAACACAAACCAATTACAGATGGTTTGATGGAATCAATTTTGACTAAGTCGAAATGATGCATTTAATTTTAAAATAATTTGATATACAATTAAATAGAATACAATAGCAAAAAAAGCATCTTTGGATCAAAAGTTTCTACATTAACATTACGAATTCTTCATGGATGTAATCAGTCATGACATGTAGCTGTATTATGTCATCTGCAGGTCACAATTCTTATCCAATTTTGATATAATTAAAATATATGTTTATATCCTAATAATCTTGGTTTACTTTGATTTTGTCATGATGTATCGGACTGTAACTTCCTGGATTATTGCTCCTGATACGCAAAATTAGGATTTTTATACGCCTATATTTCCATGCAGAGTATTTTCATGAAACTTTATGCCACATATTGAACCTCAACTTTCTGGATTCTTGTTCCTGATTGAACAAACAATCACATTTTTGTCCCCCGCCTTTCGAAGAAAGCAGGGGACTATTAAAATGGGTTCGTCCGTCCGTCTGTCTGTCCGTCACACTTTTTGGGACACAATAACTCTCTTTCTAATTGAGCTAGAATGTTCAAACTTGGTGTAGGTATTTATTAGTTCAATGCCTTGATGGAGTTTGAAGATGAACATTTTCGGCTTAGGGTAAGCAGAGATAAGCAATTTGATTGGTTGATGCTTTGGGACACGATAACTTTGGTTCTAATTAAGTGAGAGTGATGAAACTTGGTGTATAGTTTCATTACATCAATACCTTGACTAAGTTTGATAATGAGCATTTTCTGCTCAGGGTAAGCAGAATGATAAGCAATTTGATTGGTTGAGACTTTGGAACACAATAACGCTCATTCTAATTGAGTTAGAATGTTCACACTTGGCATAGGTGTCTATTAGGTGAATGCCTGGATGGAATTCGAAGATGAATATTTTCTGCTGAGGGTAAGCAGAACGATAAGCAATTTGATTGGTTGAGACTTTGGAACACAATAATTTTAACTCTCCTTCTAATTGAGGAAGAATGTTTAAACTTGGTGTAGGCGTTCATTAGGTGAATGCCTTGATGGAGTTCTATGATGAACATTGTCTGCTTAGGGTAAGCAGAAATAAGCAATCTGATTGGTTGATGCTTTGAGGCACAATAACTTTGGTTATAATGAAGTGAGAGCGATGGAACTCCGACTATAGATTCATTATATCATTACTTTGACTAATTTCGATGGTGAGAATTTTCTGCTTAGGTTAATGAGCGATAAGCAATTTGATTGGTCAAGACTTTGCAACATAACAACTCTGCTTTTTATTGAGGTAGAATGTTTAGACTTGATTTAGATGTTCATTAGGTGAATCTCTTGACTGAGTGCAATGATTAACATTTCAAGCTGAAGCTACAGAGCTAAGCAATTTCATTGGTCAATGATTTTTGACAAGATAATCTTGATTCTATCTGATAGAGAGTGATGAAACTTAGTGTATAGTTTGATTGCTTGATACTTTTGAAAAAAAAAAAAAATTTGCGATTAATAAATGTGTGTCATCTATTTATTTTGGAATTTCGGCGGGGGACATCAACCTTCACTGTTGGCTTGTTAACTTGTGGACTGTCTAGTGGTCGAAATTTTTATTTGATTTTAAATACCGTTCAATTATATGTTCATTGCACAACAATTGCGAATGAGTTCAAAATTTGAACCAAAACTTCTATCGAAATGGTCACGCTTCTATACACAAATAGTTGCCAAGCATGTAATATGTATACCAAAATTGTGGAATATCTAATCTAGAGGCCACAATTTTTGAACAATTTAGATGAAACTTAAAATATATATTAAGGATCAAAAGGTCTCATACTGGTTTGAATTTGGTGTCCATCAGAAATATGTACAAAGTTTGTGGACCAGGGTTGCTATTTCAAAATTTTGCACATAGGACATATTTTAGTTGGGGTTAACGTCCAGAATTAGGTCACCAGAAATTTTTGTCCACTTCAGAAAATAAGGTCAGTAAGCTTCCTTTAATGGACTTAAACTAGAAATATTTCTTTGCATATTGTGTTCTAAATAATGTTTATGATTAGTACAAAAAATTAGGTGGTCCTCAATATTTTTCATATTTAATTCCTTCCTTCATTTGTACAAAAGAAATTAAAATAGTTCATGATATTTAAACATCGTTTCTGCTGCTAGCGAAGGAAATCCCCCACAATTTTAATGAATAACAAACACAAGTATTCGTGTGAAATGACACTTATTACACAAAATGACGATATGAAAACATGACATGAGAAAGCAAGCAATATCAAATATTTCCAGGATCTCATGTTTTCTGAATGAGTTAGGCTGAATAAAAAAAAACGCCATACACAAGGGATGTGCCCATCTAAAGATGCATCACCCCAACATCACTTAAAGGGGCATTATGGGAGATTAGATAAAGAGCTGACAGTTCTAGCTATAATAGCTAAAAATAGAGAACCTAAAGAAAATATGCTAAAAATTTCAGTCAAACTGGTCCAATCTCAACCAAGATATTAGCGATTAAATTTTAAACCTAGCCTCGATCATCATTACTAAAGTCGGTACGATAAAAAACAATGTCTCGATTATCCATTTTGACATTAAATCATCCATCATAAAATGTATTAATGTCTATTTAATAATTTAGATAACATTTCAGGCCTAAAGAAAGACCTGCAATAGGCAGATTTAGCTCTTGCATAATGTATGTTTAAAGGAGCTAAATCGCTAACATTTGTGACCTAGAAATTGACAAAAGTGGGTCGCAACGCATATAATACTGTAATATGAATGTATATAAACTGATTTACATTCAATGGTTTCCGTTTTTACTCCAATTTCAAATCAGTTATGTTTGGCGAAATAAGCCAGCAGTCTCAAGCGAGTGCAAATTTCTAGTGTCTGGTTATTCCAGTCTACATATGCCGTTTGATTTGGTGCAATGTGTCTAGCCTCGTCCCCCGAGTCTCTTGATACAACTGGGGCTGAAGCGCATTATGGTACACGATTCGTCACGTGACTGTATGGATTATACACTACTATACACCGCCACAGTGCGTGGGTGGTTTGAGAGAATGACATGTACAGTGTACAGGCATAGACCTCTGCTTGATGTGTCACATTATACATTGCAGAAGTAGAGGTACCTATATCGCATTATCAGTACCGGACTTTAAATTGTTTTCAAAAATTAAAATTACTAGCTATACGGATGAGACGATATTTCAGTGTTTTCATTGATTTAAAACTAGTACACGTAAGGTGAATTTTGCTTTTGTTTGATCGGGAAAATAAAGGAAAATTGCAATATTTTGGCACATCAAAAGTTGAAAGTCAAATTTAATTGGATTAGGTATGTAAGTTGTGTACTATTATGTGATGTTGTGTGTTGTTATTGTTCGGTACTAATCAGTAGGACATGCATGGTGCGCGACACTAAAATATCGTCTCATATGTCTTCGTAAAACAAAAGAAGCAGAACGAGGTCGTCATTCAATTCATTTAGACTGATTTAGTTAATCATGAATCGATCGGAATCGCTACCGCCTCGCCCTCGAAAACGGACTTATCGTTATCATGTGAAATGTAGTGTTTGCCGAAAAGAAATTGACTCTGATTATAAAGAAAAACACGAGGTAACTCACTCGGGGAAGACTGTCGTTTTCACTTCATTCAGTAGCGCAAATGATCCAACTCAAGCAAAATTGAATTTTGGTGGACCCACGTCACCTAAGCGGTCTCTCTCGGTGAATGATCGTTCAAATCAACGAGCTGCTGACGCTTATACAGAACTTAATGATGAAGATGACCAGAGTAGTTTAAGTGATTTTTCCAATGACGATCTTTCTAGTGAATCCGGTGAAGAAGCTGATGATAATGCTGAGAACAACGATGTCAATGCTGAAAACAACGATGCACGTATCGCCTCGAAAGAACCAAATCAACCTATACTCAGTTCTTACAACCCTAAAAAACATGGACGAGAATCCGCGAAAAGAGATTTCAAATCTGAATGGTTCAAGGTGCACCCCTCGTTAAGCTATAATGCAGAGCTGAAATGCGGTACATGTTTATCATGTGAAGAATTTATGGGAAACACGAGCTTCAAGTTTGATAATTGGAAAAAACCAAAACGTTTGGTGAAACATGCGAATAGTAAACGCCACCGAAATGCTATCACTAAATGGCTAGAGTATAAAAACGCAAGGAAGAACGCTACAAATGTGTTAATACAGTTAGATAATGCTCATAAAAAAACTGACATCGGAAAACAGGGCCTACCTGAAGATTGTCATAGAGTGCCTTCTATATACTGCTCAGCAAAATATTGCCCAGCGCGGAAGCGTGGAAGAGAGATCAAACATACAAGAAGTATCTGATGTTAATCGCGGTAATTTCTTAGAGTTATTGAGCATGCGTTGTCGCGATATAACATGGTTGAAAGACAAACTTAAAACTCAGTTGGACCAGCACCGTCAGTGGACATCTCCGGATATTTGTAATGAACTTCTGGGTATAATGTCCAAATTGGTATTGGAAATGATAAAAGCTGAGGTTAATGATCCACATTGCTCATGTCTGTCTCTAATAATGGACGAAACATCAGACATTAGCAAAACGGAACAGGTCGCCATGTGTTCGAGATACATTTTTGAGGGAAAAACCAAGGAAACTTTCATAGGTTTTTACGATACTAAGTCCACAGACAGTGAAACTCTTTACAACTTAGTTCTGAGGGTGTTTAATGAACTAGATCTGCCCTTGCTGAATGTTGTTGGTGAATGTTTCGACGGGGCCTCTAACATGAATGGTATTCATTGTGGCTTAGCGACTAGGATGAAGGAGTGCTCACCACTGGCAATTTACATAAATTGCTTCGGCCACCTGCTAAACTTAGCTATACAGGATACCATGACCGATGTGCCCTGTCTTCGGAATACGTTAGGGACCATACAGAGTTTATATAATTTCATCGAGGGTAGTCCGAAACGCCACGCAGTTTTCTTGGACATAAAACTAGACGATGATGATGATGTTGCGCGTGCGTTAAAGTCACAAAGTGTGACAAGATGGGCGTGTAGATGGGAATCTGTACAGGCTGTAATAAATCAGCTACCTTGCACCATGGTCCATGAAAGCTTTGTTGCATTTAGCCGAAGATCGCGATGCGAAAACGTACACAGATAGTTGTGTTTTACTCAGTGCAGTATGTGATTTTGATTTTATGTTTGGTCTTGTAGTTCTTAAAGTCATCTTGTCGAATACAAGCAGTCTGAGTAGTTACCTGCAAAGCAAGTTGATAGATGTCAAATCTGCTAAAAAAAACGCTGATTCTACTATTGCTACCCTACAGAAGTTTAGAAACGATCAACATTTTGAACTGGTGTGGAAGCAAGCTGAAAAATTGTCTGAAGACTTAAAAGCTGTCTTAGAAGACACTGCCTATGAGTTCAAAGATGCACGTTTGCCTCGTACTAGGCGAGCCCCAAGGCGACTTGAAGCACTGTTTGGACTAGGTGCAGGAGACGATCAAGTACAACACAATACACCAAAGGACCATTATCGAATTACGTCCTAATACCCCAGTTTTGATAAAGTGATTGGTGAAATGGAGTCCAGATTCGATATGGAGGATCAGAGTGTACTTTGCGCTCTAGGTGATGTGGTTTTAAATGATAACCCTGACATCAGCAGCTCCTCCAAGGTTGCCGAATTTTATCATATGGACAGTGAAATATTACAGGCTGAGAAGAAAAACTATTTGAGCTTCATCAAATTACAGGCAAAGAAGTCAAAAGATAAGAAACAGCCAAAATTATCAACAGCCGCCCATGTTGTTGAGTATATGTACGAGACAGACCAGTGTAGCGTATTAACTCAATTTTATTTGGCGCCGTCTATATTAGCTACAATACCTGCAACATCATGTAGCGCTGAAAGAGCTTTCAGTGGGCTACGCCGTCTGAAAACTTACCTACGAAATACCATGGGTCAAGCTAGGCTAACCAGTCTAGCTCTGATCAACATTGAGAGGGTTTTTAGTAATAGACTACTTGAGAAACTGGACGCAATTGTGGACATTTTTGCTGGACGTCATGGCCGTGCCTCTCACTTTTTCTAAAAAGACTATTGAACTACTTGAGAAACTGCACGAAATTGTGAACATTCTGCTGGACGCCGTATGGACGTGCCTCTCATATTTCTAAAATGTTTTACTTTTGTTCCCGAGTCCTGATTTGTACGATCAATCTGGTGATACGATTATCTCTGAATATCAAAATATTGTTTAATTAATCTAATACATAGTGTTAGAATTATATTGATTTATATTATATTATATTGATTATATATAATCAATATAATATACTATATATTGATCATATTGATTTCGATATATATAATATATACTATATTGATTATATTATATTGATTTCTGACAATTTTCTCTTATGCCCCCCTGAATTACTTTGAGCTCTTACGCCTATGCAAACCTATGTATATTTTAAAGAATGCACACATTATATTACCTAATATCAACCAATAGTATCAAAAGAATAAAAAAATTTGCACCTAGGAATAGGTGCATAATACTAGTCATTTATAATTTTTTTTTTTTTTAAAAATCGACAAAGCTGTTTGTAGACATGTGTATGATGCTGGGCAAATCTTTCTTGGATAATTTTCGGCAAATCTTCCTTTTGTATTTTTATTGATCTAGATGTGCTGATGGGGGAACGTTACTCAGGATGTAAACCAGGACCTAAGCTAGGTATTCACTACACAGGGTTAGTTCAGCCTCCATCACAAGTAGCATGTGAACGAGTTACTGGTCACTCTGCACTTATTGTGTGGAATAAAGGTAGGTTATAATTAATTTAATGGTTTCTCTGATCTTCACAATTCAGTATCTCCCCTGTGAAAATACACACTGAAATTTCAGTGGGAGATTTGGTAAAAATATTATTGAAAATTTACCGAGATTTCATTGAAATCTCAATGAATTTTACTGAAATCTCAGTGAAATGTATAAAAAAGTGTCTAAACCTAAATGCTCTAAAATCAATCAAGAAACGTTTCAGTATTCAATACATGTAGGGCACATGTTCCATCCGTCACAAAAACAAAAACAAAATTGAATACAAAGAAGCAAATAGGAAATGTAGACTGTCTCGAGAGACAGCCGTCTGCTAACTGAGTGGCGACGTTATTTTGTGAATGACGTCATATCTTAGACGGTGGTAAAAAATCACAATAATAAGGGTGATAATCCAGATAAAATAACGTTAAAAGCTTAAAAACTATAAATTTTAGTGACTAATCGGAATTATTAAGTTATGTAATTGTACAATTTATAATATATTTTTAATATAATACCCCACACAACAAATGCAAAACAGGTATGCTGAAGAAATCGTACGATGTAAGTATTTACAAAGGCATAAAAAATAAGGGAGGTAATTCAGACAGGGTTAGGTAACTACAGAAAATTTAAATTGGATCATTATCCAGTATGTAGTCAGTTATATACTTATAAGAAATGTCAAACTTGGTATGTTGAAGAAATGGAAGTTTTGAAATTTCTTTTAAAATACGTAATTGTGTACCGCCTTTGGCAGTGCATTTAAGGTAAAGAGATTTTATTTAGGGAGAGAAATAGTTCTTTATTGTTACATTTTGTCAAAAATCGTAATGCCTGTGAATAGAAAACACTATGTAGCGTGGTATCTGGTATGTTACTATAGATTGACGGGTATTTCACTACTTCAAAACCAAATTTGTCCGTTTTGTCAAAAATATGGACATTAAATTTATTGTTAATTATATAGATTTCCAGGTCAAGAACAGATGCATTTATAGTGCTGGAATTTTCTTTATTTCATATAAGTTCAGGAGGATATATTTCACTTTTATATTTGTTGAAATTTCCGTTACCATTGATAGGTGTTATGTCATCAATGTATCGGAAGGTATAGTTTAGACGTTTAGCTACTTTGTAATCTGTTTTTCTTTTATGGTCTTGAAAGTAGAATTCGTATTTATATAAATGTGACCCCCCATGGCATACTGAGTCGCAATGAGGAAATTTTGAAAATTGAGTTATTGTTATTCTCCGACTCATTACCTTCAATTTGATGTATAGTTTGTTTGAATCAGGCAAAAAATTGACTGAGTTGTGACTGCTTAAAGCCATCCAACTCACCAAAGTAAGTTTTGAGAAAAATCAAGTTAACCCTTAACCGGTCATTGTCGACTAGTCACCACAACGTTATACAGCTTAATTAATTGTGTACTGATTGATTTACTGTTTTGACTGCCGAGTTCTAATTAAAAGAGATGGTACTAGGCCTTATGATCAAAGATACAGTATTATTATTATTAACGGGCCCAGAAACTTTGAGATACGTGTAGCCAATGCTTACTATATCCACTTTACGGCAAGTTCACACCAATCTGGTTGAAATTAATTCAGTTATCTTCACTCAAAGTCGTAAAAATAGACCTTCCGTAAAAACGACTTTGCCAATTATCGAAAACACCCTTAATCCCCTCAGACGCCAGTGACGTCACAGTGACCGAATGCATATTCGGAATGTTTATTCCTTAATTACCTATATACAGCCGGCGTGTGTATTCTTTACCGCCTGAAGGATTCCTTAATCCCCCTAATTAAATAAAACAATTGGCTACGGAATAATTTGTTTTGTAATTCATTTTAATTTAAGATCCAATTTAGAGTGTCAATAATTAATCAATCCGACTATAAAAGTTAAACAGGCATGGGTTATAAATTAATTTACACGTTGGTGTTAGCAGTGAGTGTTAGTGGGATTAAGAATGTTGATTAGGTAATTATCTTTTTTTACGCCGGCCAGATCAAAGACATCACTCTAAGTGGAACGTGTGCGTAATACCTCACGACTGATTCAGAACGAACTAATGGTAGAATCATACACACACACATTAATTGTATAAAATAATTAAGTTTTACTAATAAGTTGTTTAAAATTACTATATACCCAATAATTATTGCTCACCGGTGTTTTTGTAATCAAGTAGCCTCGTATTATTTGTTCATTGGCGTTTAAACAACATTTAATTGATGGATGGATTAACGTTTTTGATAGGATTAGGTTATAATGTCTAACATCGGTTATCTTCTTTATAATAAAAGTATTTTACAATTGCATTGACTGTTTAATCACTCACCAAACGGCACCAGGAACTCTACGAATGATCCCGTGCAATTTTCGCGGCGAAGTTTAACCTCATTTACTACACCCGTAGTACATGGAACGGTACATGATAATAAGATACCAAGCGTTGATTGGCAGAGAAATGAGTGCGATCTATTGTACATGTTATGCAGAGTCATCGGAAAATTCCATATTCACTGTAGTTGTTCTTTATGTATAGAAATGGTTATTATTATTATATATAACTAATAATGAATATACCGACAAATGACTGGCACCATTTGTATTTCTGTACTTAAGTTTGGGATATCAAGTATTACAGGGTTATCCAAATTACCGGTAAATGCACTAATTTCTTGAGTCATCTTCATTTGACACGTGGCCTATTTAAACAAAGGCAGCTTAAATTGATCTACGGCATGATACGCCATTTTAAATTCACTCTAAAATATTCCAATCACAAATGTCTAAACTATACCAATGAAAGACGATAATTTGGTGATTATGATTAGGCCAGTCACGTGGTAATTGGACCGTCAATAGACGCTTGTCCAGTTGCCGTGTGTATTGATAGTGCTATATTGTACAGCTAGTGAGATATTGTATAGATAATGTATATCCTATGTGTAGTGCCTGTGACGTCACCAGCCAATCAACCGGATTAAGGTCGTAATTGAAAAATCGAAAAGCGTTTTGGCGTGTCGGATACTTAAACGTTAACAGCGGACTTAATTTTAATCAGATTGGTGTGAACTTGCCGTAAAGTTGATATAGTAACCATGGGCTATACATACATGCAATTTAGATTTTTGATCTTACGTGGTCTTTAATATTTTCTTCTTTAGGTTTTCAAGGGTGCCAAAGACGAAAATCGTAGTAAATGCGCCCTTTTCATAGCAAAACATCCACAACACATGTGGCATATTCACATTTCCTATGATAGCATTATAATTTAGAACAGTGTATACATTAGTAGTCTAAGTTTGTATATTATAACTTTGGTGAGATTAATTTCAGTTAATCTCATCAATTATTTAGCACCTAAGTGCCAGTGGTCAGAAGATTAAAGATACGTTATGGGAGATAAGATAAAGAGATGGCAGTTCTCGCTATAATAGTTAAAAACTAGATAGTGTAAAGGTAATTTGCTGAAAATTTCAGTCAAATTGATCCACTATGAGCCGAGAAAGAAGCGGGTGAAATTTTTGCATAGTCTCGGTCATCATTACTAAAATCATTAATATAAACAGCATAGTCTCGATTATCCACTTTTTTTTATTTAATTATCAGCCAACATCGAAGGCTAGCCTTGACATCAAGAGTTTATTATGGTCTGGATAAGTTAATTAATGTCTAATTGATAATTTAGATAACATTTCAGGCCTAAAGAAAGACTTGTAATAAGCAGATTTTGCTCTTGCATAATGCATGTTTAAGGTTGTTGATTGGGTAATCAAGTTTAGTAGTCTATCTTAATCATTAAAGAAGCCGCCACAGCTGCATGCCTGAATTAAGATTTTGCGTGTACAATAAGTCTATTGTTATTTTAAGCCTCAGGTACCGTAATGGTATCAAAATATGAGTCCATAATGGAATAGAAATTTCATTGGCATGAAATACTTACGTTCATTTTGGAAGCGGTGTAATGAAACAATGGCAGATTATTTTTTCCACACGATAATCGTTGCGTTTCGACTCTTTGGTCGTTCTCATTTTCCTGACCCATGGTGATAATAGAATTTTAAACAATAATAATATCCAATATGCATTCTTTACTTTGCATGCCGTATGAAGCGGCAGTAAACGGAATTCATCTATCAATAAAATTCTCTTCGGAAAGAAAATTATTGGCTATTTTGTTTATTTCCATTTAAGGACTATAAATTATTTTCTAACAGACCAAACGAGACATTAAATCATCAGCTTTGATTAGTTATTCGGAGTAAATAATGAATTGTCGGCGGCCTTATAATTGTTAATTATCAATCAACTAATCATTAATCCGTGAGAAGTGATTACAGATTAGTATTACTC